TGTACATCCAACTATTCCATGTCCTCTTATCTCACCCATCTATTTGTTTATTCTGGGCTACGCGAAAGGTCCGTCCTTTTTTATCAGACAGACTCCCATCTCCCGCTGGGTTATGTTCTTTGTGTTTCGTAATCATTGACCTGAGTGGCTCAGCTTGTTGTTGGGAAACTAAGATTAAATCAGTTCAAGCACGCAATTGGCTTGTAATAATGGAAAAACGATCAGCTTTTATAGAAGTTGTTTGACCTTGTTTTCCAACTTGGTCATGTTGGTAGGAAGAATTAGAGGAACGCACCTAGTACGGAGTCCTTTGTATGCATGATAATTAACAGTCGGATCGTGAAAGTGGTACTTTTACAGATTTTTCGCCTGCATCTTTAATAAGTCTTGCCATTCTTAGCACAACACAACAACTCGTCAAAAGGACAAGTAAAGCTGATCCTTTGATCAAATGTCTGCTAAATAGTTGTGGTATCTCTCCTTTTCTCCTAGGCTATTTCCCTCTCCCATATCCTCGCATCACGCCTTCCCTATCACATTTTTTACTTGCTTATTTTAATTTAATGTCCTCCTTGCGTAGGTGTTATCAGAGTCTTCATCTTGCCCCGTAGGATCCGTCTGCTATCCTCCTGGTTAAAGTATTTCATTCGACCCCATCCTATCTGTGCTACTCGAGGCGTTATTACCCCTCCCCTGCGTCTGGGTGACTAATTCGAGGCAAAATAAGCCGATTAAGTCAAATGGTCAAACCTTTGCTAAATGGACCACGTCTAAGGTAAAATAGGCCTATTGTAAGACAACGAAAGCCAGTCTATCCTGTTTCTAGCTCTAATACCAAGGTCGATCACTTGCTATGCCCTTGTGTGCCAACCCACAAGTGATATGGTACTGCTTGCTTTGATTAGGTTCAATGTTGATCCACAAAATTTGTAGATAGGCACACAAGAGATTAAAGCATAGAAAGTCAGACTTGATATTACAGATAGAAACAGGATAGACGCGGCGGAGACTGAAGCAAGTTGACTGATAGTAGGCCTATTTTACCATAGACGTGGTCCATGTAGCAAAGGCTTGATCATAAGGCTTTAGCCTCAAATTAATCACCCAGACGCATGGGATGAATAATAACGACTCAAGTAGCACAGATGGGGTGGCAGGGATCGAGTGAAATAGTTGAACTAGGTTCATGGCAGACGAATCATACGGGGCAAGAGGGAGACTCTGATAAGACCTAAGGAGGGAGGACTGGGTAACAATATGGCAGACTACTCAACATTCCCAGCACAAGGGTCAAGGAAGGTGAGAACGCCAACGTGGAGTGTGGAGGGCTCTCATGAAATCCGCTCAAAAGCGCATACAACACTAGATTTAAATAAGCAAGAAAAATTGTGATAATGAAGACATGATACGAGGATATAGAAAATTATAATTGCACAGGACAGAAAGAGATACCACAAATGTTTAACACACATTTTGTCAAAGGATCGGCTTCACTTTGCTCTCTTAGAAGAGTTGTAGTGTGATGCTAAGAATGCCAAGACTCACTAGCTATACCGATTACGATTCCGGCGAAACGTCTGGAAATGTACCACGTTTTTTGTCCAACTTGAAATTATCATGCACAAATAGGACTTCGAACTAGGTGCATTAGTCTAAGTCTTCTTACCAATAAGACGAAGTTGCAAAAAACAAGGTCAAACAACTTCTATACAACGAAAAGAGACTGCGACCACACAAAAGGCCACACCATCTTAGTTTTCATAACTTTGATCCGATCTTATATTCTATATTTAATGCTGAGCCCTTAAAAAGGTAAGGGTTGAGTGTCCGTAAACCTACTGGAGAAAGTTGTGCATAAAGGCTATAATAAAAAGCATTTAACTCTTGATACTAATATCTAAGAGAATTTCCAATAAGACGATTGCGCATAGAACTCATCTAAATCGAAATTGGAGAACAATAAAATTATCTTACTACGTGAATTCTCATCAAAATCAATAACAAGAATAAGAAATATTAATTGTCATGCATTTAAACGTACAAGGAATACTTGAGTATTTCTGTATAGTTCAGGCAGAAGAGGCTGAGCCTCCTCAAGCATCTGAAGCATATTTTCCAAGAGTTGTGTACGAGCCGCATCTTCTTCGGATATGACTAAAAACTCTTCCATCTGTGAGACGTTATCCGGGGTTTCCACCTGGGGGATAGCAATTTGATCATCAGGGGAACCTGATGAAAGCGGTGATTGATGTGGTTGAGATTTTTTTGGAGAAGGGAGTAACTCCCTTTTAAAGCCACAAGCCTAAGTATAAGATAAGGTAGAAAAATAACATTTTGATAACAATTAAAGAGTCTATATAAATGTAAAAAAACAAAGAAATATCCCATATTGTAAATGTAGCAAAAACTCAAAAAAGATCTTTATCAGCATTAAACAAATATAATTATGCTTCAGGCAAATTAATTTATACTACTGGTGGAAAAGCATATTAAAAACTAGTAGTTAATACTTTCATAATACATGGGAATCAAATAAGGAAGTGTATCTAGTGGTAAGTTTATATCATGTACAATATAAAAAATGATACAGAGAATGTCAATCAATGCAATAATAGATATATAAAATTTGATTTTAAAGTAATGAAGTCTAGAAATTTTCGCTAACAGAACCTAAACATGGACTTTACACATAAATGACAACGTTTAGTCAGGTAGAGCGAATAGCCAAGACTAGCTTAATTTCTAAAAATGCAGTGATTTGATCAACGTAGATAGCAAATGAAAAAAGTAGGTATAAATTAAGTTGAATATTACCAGTATGATTCTTAAAAGTTGCAAGGTTAGCAGATAATTACAACTTAAGGATAAAAATATTGGTGAGGTACTCACAGTGAAGAATAATTCGGCTTTGTCAATGGAAAGTAGATCACTAATAAGTTGATTACCAATACGCAATCGACGAAAAGTAGGATTAGTTGGATTCTGAATTAAATTTCTGACCACTTTAATGAGGTTCTGCTTACGTTTCTCTTTGATCTCGGCCAAGGTTGGAGCATTTGGATCACCAGCCTGAAAGAAAGCCGGAAGTTGACTTTTTTCGAGTCCACGAACAAGCTGCAGCGCAGCTGCTTCACAGGACTGAGTCTGGCCTTCATATGATAAATATTCATTGATAGCTTGATCAACTTCAGCCCGAGAGGCGATTAAAGTGTCGCCAAATAAAGAAGGACACCAATATAGAGCTTCTAAAACAAAAGGAGTTAACATGAGATGGATAGATCGGATACTAGCCGGGTACCGTAAAAAACCGTGGTTGTTATAATGTATATAAATATAAGTTATTAGATGAATTGATATACATCATATATGTATATTCGGGGATTAAGACCTGAGAATTACTAAAGAGCAAGAAAGTGCCACTAAAACCTCGCTACTAGTGCTAAGTAGCTAACAGAGATACCAACAGAGTACACATTCTGGACTAAAAGAGTTTTCTGCGGAGAATTTACGGTCTAATGTTTTGAGAAAATGTTACTAATATGATGCAACTCATAGATACTAATACACATATAAAGGCCCGCTTGAAAAGCAGACAAGATTCGTATAAAAAATGCGTTGCTCTTTGCTGAAATAGAGAAATATACCTAGGCCCCAGTAAAGTCATAGGTTTAAGAAAATTACGATCAGAAATATTAATTGTCCGGACGGAGAGTTGCTCGTACTGACAAGTCAGCAATAAGGTAATTAGATAAAAACATATTAGGAAAAATAATTATGAGGCAAAATATGATGAAATGCAACTGACTAGAAATAGCCTGGGGAGAATCGCATTCTACAATTTTTTGTTTAAACATATTCCCTTGAATCTTCGCTTGTTCCAAATCCGATCTTAAATCATTCAGCATATTAGCTTGCCTTGATTTACTATGCATTCCTAATGGATAAAAAAGCTCATCATAAAATACCTGTAGAACGCTTCGCCTTAGCCATTCTTTCTAACGCAGCTTTGGCGGCCATTTGGCTTTCGGCCGATTCAGTATGTTCTCTGATGGGAATATCGTATGAATCAGAACTGATAGACGACCTCGTCTCTTCAATGAGCCTATGTGGTTGCCCCAAATTCGAAAATTTCATATCCGACCTAAGTTTGTTAAAAAACTTTTTTAAGCCGGACATGCCGGTAGGTGAAACGACGGGGGAAAAGGACTCGAAATGTCCGCTTGTACTGTGAAGAGGAAAGATAGGACGGCAGCTCATTTAAAGGTTAGATATAGGATATAATTGCTTTAAAGTTATTAGCAAATAACATTAAAATAAATTTTATTTAATACTTTAGAGCCAGTTTTTTTCTCAGTTTCTCTACGAACTTATTTTGCTCTCACACCTTTGATCAGTTGCTTAATTCTGTTGTAGCCATCATTTAATTCCTTCCATAATTAGTTATGATCGATTACACATAATTTTACAATTTTTTTTTACAAACTCTTGGGTCTAGGAATTCAATACTCTTCGATATTAACAGCTGCCCCATATATATGCAGACTATGAAAGTGATAAGTTGAAAAATTAGAAGATAAAGAAATTGGAATTTTCATTCACTCACTTAAAATATAAAATGAATAGCTCTACTCCAAAGTGCATGCTTTTTTATTGATATGGTACCTTCTTTGAGCGATTTTATTTCTCATCTAGAGTTTCGTATCCGAAAAAAAGATTTTTAATTTTGTCAAACTTTTGAAATCGCATTCTCAGGAAAAAAGTTAAAAGCTCTATTATAGCATATACACGGGATTCATGACTCTAGGTTGCAAGATATGAAAATCCATTAATGAATTATATCGGCAAAACATGGATTTTGTTTGAAAAGGTGAATAAAAAAGGATCGTAAATTAGCCTTCGTTAAGACCAAAATAGGATTTATTTAAACTTGTGATTACTAAAAATGTGTAAAGGAGACTCCGGCTTACTGTTCTGCACGCTAAATTATCCATGTCAAGTATCATCTGAGGGGCATCAGCAATCGAGGAAGACTTCATTTACGATAAATCGCCCAAAACATTAAATTATAAAAGTTGTCTGGTAAAAATTCTACTTACTTATTATAAATAACTTCGCGATCTTAATGAGATATCCTATTATTGGGTTGGAAACTTTAAGTCTCTCCTGTAGGCATGCAGACGAATGAAGTAGTTGCATCAAATTACAGAGGATCTGGCCACAACATTCCTTGGGTTATTAAACTAGCGTATAATTATGTACTAGTAGTGTTTTCGAGGGGGGGTTGTATTTGTATGCGCGCTGTTTGTGCGAAATTCTTATGAATCATTTGACTATATCGAGT